AAAAAAAAAACAAAAAAACACAGCACTATTGTGCTGTGGCTCTAGCACTAATGAGTAATTTATACTCTGAACTCTGCATTGATTTTCTTTGCCCTGCTATGAAGAAAAGTAATCACTCAAAGGGTTTTCAGAGAAAAAGGAGAAACATGTTTTGTTCTTTATATCCGACTGAAAGACATCCGACTGTTGGATGTGCCCTAAAGCGATTCTTCCTAATTTAATTCAAGAACACCCGGGCAGTTAGGGAAGACGTATCTCGGGCAGAAGGTGAGTTCGCTTATTAAGTTTGAGCAGGCAGTTTGATTCCTCCCCCCTCTCTCTAAGCTGTAATGTAAATGGGGTTAACAAGAAAATTTTATTTTCCAAAGAACAGGTGCTCATAAGAAGTGCAGACAGAACAAAAAAAAGTCCAGGAAGTGGAGCAAGAACACTGCTGGGGATAGAACAAGACTCTCCAACCCTGATAAAAGTTTAGCGTTACACTGCCTCTATGGTTAAAGAATAAATGAATGTGATTTCACTTGAAGATATATTGCCCTGTTATCCCTGCACCAATCAACAGGACTTCCTGGACTTTGTTATTTAATAGAAACTTCGTCATTTCTGTCCAATGTGGTTGTTGTTACAATGCCAAATTATAAATGAAAGAGGAATAAAAGGTCCAAAAATAACAACGGTAATTCAGCGTTTCTTGATTATGCGCTGCACAGTCAGAGGAACATTAGTGTGATAATGTGTGGACCGCAAAAGCTTTAAAACACTGCATGTTTTCTTTTGGAATGGGGCCATTTAAGTTTATTATGTGATTGTGTTTTCATCAAATCAGAACTGCGTCCACACAAGCTAGGAAATACTTTCAGTGTGCTTGCACACAGCCCAGACCAAACACAGACGTGACTATTATGCGAAAATTAAATTAATTGAGGGATGAAAGGCTCTACATAAACAAAAAGAGCATTTTGATTAACAAGAGATTTCTGAAAAGTGCACTTCAAAGCACTGAAGCTCTGTGGTGCATTGCACAGTTTTGAGATGATTAAACCCCAAATATTTCCATCTTCTGATCATTACAATCTTTCAGAACTGGGAAATATTTTACTTTGTCCTTGTAACTCTGCAAAATACAAACAAACCTTTAAAAAAAAGCTTATTCTTTTACAAATAAAGTTTTGATAACCTAATTTATTTGTGAGTACATCTGCATTCTGCTGCACGTTTCCAAAATGTGCGATGCTAGATAGTAGTTACCTCAGTTATCTTGTTTAACCAACTGTAGCAGCAGGTAATGATTATTCTGCTCTGAATCTAGTCTTTGTTGCTTGTCGAAGTATCCTGGTGGAGCTTTAATGATAAGGTAGCAGATCTTTCAGACACGATGGCACTGATGGTGGAATAACTGAGCTAAAATGCTTGAATGCCCGGTGATGAGAACCAGGGTAGCTGAGTCTGTCTGAGGCTTGTGTCCACTGATGTGAATGGAGGCCAGAATAGAGGCCAGCTTTATTTCAACCAGAGGAGCCACAACATTCATTCATGAGCCTGTTTTCCCACATTGCTGAGCTTGACTAAAGAAAGATTAGACTCCAAATCCCTTGCAGCAGGGTTGTATTGACACATTACCCCCCAAAATGAATTAACATATATACCTTCCGCTGATTTAGACATTTTACCTGTGATCTATTTCCCTATTCTCTCTTGCACATGAAGAGATGCATTGTTTCTTTGTTACTAATAATAAAATCAAAAGTCTAGTTAATATGCTATAGATTGTGATGAGTAAAGCTCCTTCTACAACCATCTGTTGCACTTTTTAGGCCAAATGTCACATGGAAACCCAGATATGATGAACATATACACATGACCTTTTATGCTTTGTTTTGGTCTTAAAAATGGATGAGGGTAAAGGCCTGAAGACATGTTTGTTTAGCAGCAAGGTCCCAATTTTGTTAGTGAAATTTAAAGCAGCTCTATTATTCTTTGAATTATTTCCTGTGACATATACTTACAGTGGGGCAAAAAAGTATTTAGTCAGCCACCGATTGTGCAAGTTCCCCCACTTAAAATGATGACAGAG